CAATTTAATTTAGAAAAGCAATAGTATAACAAAAATATAACACATAATAATTGAGATTGCAATCAACAACACATCACAAAATGGCAACAATAATCACCTACTAATACTACTAACATTAATTTAGATCAGATTTCCTATATTAATTGACAGTGTGCTGCTACTCGTGATTGTATTTTACCTATTTCTGTTTGTTGTTGTTGTTGTTGTTGTTGTTGTTGTTGTACTGCTGCCGGAACTCCCAATGGATTCACAGAAAGTTCTATTTATCTCAACACATGCATTTTCTTTTCACCCACTGGTCTCGCAGTCCCACAATCGTCAGCTGTTTTCAGCTGATCCTGTCAAAGCATTTTTGGTGTCCCCTGAGAACAGCCAGTTAGGGAGCGTACACTAGGGTCAGCTGTGTCATGATTACACATTTACTTGGTCCAATAACCGCCAAACAATTAATCACAACATTGCAATTATTATGCTTTTATTGGTTTCACAACACTGTGCTGTTGCACAACATAACATAACATAGTTGTTGTTGTACACCAGTCTTCTTTTTTTTATTGTTTGAGTTCACCTTCATATCACTAATTATTCTTTAACATAACATAGTTGTTGTTGTACGCCAGTCTTCTCTTTTTTTATTGTTCACCTTGTGAGTTCACCTTCATATCACTAATTATTAGTGATATTACCTTATGACATCCCTGGTGAAGACACAGCAGCTAAATAACATCAAAGGATACAGGCACAGCTCCCGTGTGTCCGTTGTAGGTACCGAGTACCACACGTTGGCCACCTGTGTTGGGAGACATTGTTGAAGGTAAATGTTAAAAGGCACTTTTACTTCACAAATCATTGGTTTGCTCTACACTACTGGCGCCACCTTTAACCTCAGGAAGAAATCCATGTTGCACTACTTTCCTTTTAATCTGAATGAAAATAAATCAATTCTACCTTAGTTGTGTCCTCTTTTCATGATTACAGTATGGTTTTCATATCACACACACCATAGAGCATATAGCCTTATGTTTGAAACACAACTGCAAGTCAAAACTAGCAGAGGATTACTCTGCTACTCGACTATAATTTCATATTTTCAAATTTGTATCTCCACGTAAATATTCCATATTCTTGACGCAAACTGGTTACTATGCTGTACAGAAAAGCAGTATTTGCAAGTTAATTTCATATTTTCAAAAAGGCGCATCAGCCCAGCTCAAACCACTGTCAAAGGCCAATTTCTCATTTACCACGACAACTCTATGTTCATTATTTAGAACGATAAACTAACTACCAATCATCTTAACTTTTGACAAATGCTAACGTCAGGCTGCCGAGACGCATATGCTAGCGTAAATTACACCAACGGTCTCGAACGGACGACTACAATTTCAAACAAAATACAACTGACAATTGTTTTCAAAAACCCACCATTTCAGTCAATCAGATGTAGCCACCGCGCCCAGTTTTTTGACTTAAACGCCAGCCGGAAGCCAAAACCGCTAACGCTCTTGTCTCATGCTCCGGAACCGGAAATAAGGATTATAAGGACAAACGTTCCAATATCAGCGCGCCCTCTACAGTTGACCGCTGACATTCACATTCTTTTTTTTTTTTGAGTTGGTTTAGTCTCTTAGAACATTTTCTTTAATAGAAAGAGCGTGCTTTGACGACTTTTTTGGTGAAAATCTACAAAAATAAATAATTTAAATACAAAATAATTTCAAATAGTTTTTTAGTTAATAGTTATTTCAGATATATATATATATATACTGTATATACAGTATATTCCTTCATCATTGATAAGGCGAAATTCAGAAACACCTCTGCTGTTAATCACAAAACTATTTATACTCTTAATAATAAAGTAATTTTTTGTTTTTATCACTGACAGACAGAAAAATAGCAAATTGTAATTATGTGTTCAATACAGGTCACAATGTATTAATAAAAATCTAGCCTGTTTAATGTTGTTAAGGGCAAGAGTTCCACTGAAGACTTGAAATTAACAATGTACAAGCCAACACTAATGCACACTTATGACTAAAATCCAATATTTATTATCCAATATTTTTCATACCCAGCTTTGATTATTCACAGATAAAAATATGAGAAACACATACATCTACCTGTTGTTACTTGTCTTTCTGTTCCAGCAATTTACAGTTTAGATTTTTGTTATATTTAATTTAAAAAAAAATTATTTAATAGGGGGTCATCACCATAATAGTCCAAACATTGATTTGGCAGAGTTTTACCCCATATGCACTTCCTTACGCAATCCATGCTGGAACCGAGAGCCTTCTGGTTATGAATATTGAAGTTAATCCACAACCACATTGTGATTAATCAGATTAAAAAATTCTATTGTTTGGCCTTAAGCACCAAACATGGAATACGCCCTGCAGACGTTAACGTGGGGAATAGTCTTTAAAACAGTTAAAAGTACAACTATACCACCAGTCCTTTTAAGGTTAAAGGACAATATTTCCCAACTGATCCCATCAAGTTACTGTTGAAAATCACAACATAATGCAGCCGTCTTCACGGACAACCTTTATGATCGTCTGCCTGCCAACAGGCTGACTTGTCTTGAGGGGAGTGGAGCTCCACACCTCAGAGATACGCTCCTGCGTGTTGGGGCAAGACACACCGTCAACTTTGCATTTTACTCTTCCTTTCTCTGTAGGGAAGCTCCAAAGCTGGTGCAAAGCTCTGATAGTTTTTTTTTTTTTTTGGGGAAAATTAGAATGCAGGACAAGGCCAACTGCAGTTCATTAAAAAACTTGTTTGGAGGGATCGGCGATCATCGACAACCTCAAGGTACAGTAATAACGAAAACACTTTAAAGACGTTTCTAAAACATGAATGAAGTAACTCTGGATACAGTTTGTTGTGCTGTTAAAACTGAACCTTCTTCTAACCTTGTGTTATTGAATGGTATTTTTTAAGGTTTTCTTTTCAAGATTTCTTTTTTTACCAAACTTTTAAGGTAGCATTAAATTGGACCTTTTAAATGATGTTTTAATGTGTGGTACGTTTGACCGCTTCTGCTCATATTTCATTACAAATAATTCCCCTCTGTGCTACATTTAATGATAAAACTGCGGTAGAACTTTTAATTGCACAACTATGCGACACAGTGCCAAGTTTCTGTCTGCGTTTCAACAGATGAAAAAGAAGCAGTGCAGGAAAGAACCTTCACCAGGTGGATGAATGTGTTTCTACAAAGAGTAAGACCAAAAACAAAACAGTTTCCCGCCAGCATTATGCTTATTATTAAAAAAAATATATATATTTCATGTAATCATGGCTGATATTTCTCCCCCTCCCCTTCCCTTTTCTCTACAGTGTCATCCTCCGCTTAAAGTGCAGGACCTGTTTGTAGACATTCAGGACGGCAGAATACTCATGGCTCTGCTGGAGGAGCTGACAGGGTGCAAATTAGTGAGAGTCAAATCTACCAGTGCAAAGGACAACCATTCATTTAAGCAAAAATATTTGATGTTTTTTTTTTTTTTTCCCCGTAACATCCCATGAACTTTGGAGTTGAGAGTTTCTTCAGGCGCAGGGGAACTTTCTTTCTAGACTTTTCAGACATAAGTGCTCTTCCTGGCACATTCATTACTCCAGGCAGAAAACAATAGTGGCGAGGGGCCTTGTTAAAGGAATTCTGACCACAGTGGCTTGTGCATAGCTGATTATACAACCACTAAGTTCTCACACAATTTGTTCTTGTAGAATAAAGATATCAGCCTCTCCTGGGAGCTGTGGGCAATTGGCTGCTCCGGTAGCTCTACTGCAATATAAAGATGTTCCCGAACGTACTGCTAGTCTAGAAACCATCTGTCCACTGCGCAAAAATAAAAAAAATAAAATAAAGTCATCCCATAAGGTTAAAAAAGAAATAATTGGACATGTTAAATTATGTTTGTCTCTTTTTGCTAAAACATGGATGAAGAATTTGATATGTGTGTGTGTGTGTGTGATTGTCTGAGTGCACATGTGTGGTCTTGGCATTGGTATCCTGGTGGGAAAAGTTTTGGGTAACATACTTTGTTGGAATGGACAATTTGTCTTTGTAGGGATTTTTTTTCAGACCAGAAAAGAGGGAAAAGAGGATTTGGATTTAAGAGCTTAGGCCAGGGGTGTCAAACATACGGCCCGTGGGCCAAACCTGGCCCACTAGGGGGTTCAATCTGGGCCGCTTGATGGATTTTTAAATAAAAAAAAAACAACAATAGACAAACACATCAAGTTTATGCTGTTTTGTAAAATGTGATTTTTTCTTTTTTTTTTTTTTAAATATCAGCTTTACAGGTTTCGATCATCTTCCCACCGTATCTTCAGACTGAACAACATCTCCAAGGCTCTGGCTTTCCTTGATGATAGACATGTGAGTACGTTGGTTTGGAGTCAGTAAACCACACTGGTTTCTCACTCACTTTCTATTGTGGAAAAACTCGATCTTGGACTGACTCCTCCAACCTGTTTTCACTCAGGTGAAGCTGCTTGGCATCGACGCCTCCGGTGTTGCTGACGGCGTCCCCTCTGTTGTTCTAAACCTCATCTGGAACATCATCCTTCATTTTCAGGTATATGTTTTTTCCATCATCATGTATACATTTACACCAGGCATGGGCAAACAAAGGCCCGGGGGCCGGATGCGGCCCGTTCAGCCTTTTCATCCGGCCCTCCAAATGTTTCCCTGCAATACCCACATTTCTCCAATCCAAATTTTTCCCTGCAATACCCACATTTCTCCAATAGATGGCATCGAAAATGAAATTTTTGTCATTTATCTTAGTTCACACGAACGCTCCATCTATCTGCTTCTGACCTGCCCCCCTCCCTTTTCAATTTTAGGGCAATTGTGTCAAAAAGTTTGCCCACGCCTGGTCTATACTCATACCCAGTGCTTTTCACTGACCTTGCATACACACTTTTTTTTTTTTTTTTTTGTAAATCAGGCTAAAGAGATGACGAGAGGCCTGCAGAGGCATTTATCTTTAAGCCTCTCTTCCTTACCAGAAAGCACTTATGCCTCCTTCACTGACCTTTCCCTCCTGCCAAATGATATTGGCAGCTATTCATACAATACACTGCCAAGCAAAGGGAGAAAGACTGCCAAGGAGTCAAAGTACCATGGGAAGGCCATCAAGACGCTCCTCCAGTGGGTCCAGAGATGCACATCAAAGTAAGTCTGAACCACATCCAAACTCATTGGGCCAATGAATCATTCAGAACCCCATTTTCTTGTAATTCCAAACGTGTAGGTTTGGGGTGGAAGTAAACGACTTCGGGAGGAGCTGGAGAAATGGTCTGGCATTTCTCGCTATAATTAAGTCCATGAAGCCTGACTTGGTTGACCTTAGGGAGAGCCTGACAAGAAATCCAACAGAAAACCTGCAGGAGGCGTTCACGATAGCCCACCGCAGCCTGGATGTAACACCTCTGCTGGAACCTGAAGGTAGCACAGTACTGCAGAATGAAAAAATAAGATGAATGGATGACAGTGGTTTATCTCAGTGTAATTCGACTCTTTCAGAACAACAAGCCCGTCAGCCACAGAAGCCGGCAACATTTCAGTGCCAAATAAATCATTGTAACTTTTTCTCGCAGATGTGACGTGCGTCTCACCAGATGAACAGTCCATTATCACCTACGTGTCATCGTTCCTGGGACAATGCTCAGACAGTGATGGGGTGAGGGCTGCTTTTTTTATACAAATTATATAATGTCACCTCATGAGATACACTTATATTCACATATTATGATTTACACAGTAAAGGAAATACAGTAAAATATACACAAGCGGCATAAAATATTCAACCTTCAGTTTACTTTATGCGTCCCAGAAAATTGACATCAAATAACACAGGTTTACATTTGATAGAAATATAACATTAAATCTGTTAGCCATTCGCTAAAAGTCATAGAGCGTATTTTGTTCTGTGAGCTACAGGAGCAACGTTTCTCCTCAGCGGGTGGCAGTATCGCAACTCACAAGATTCAGAACGCTAACCAGCTAAATTCTAACTAGCGCTGCACACACATGCCGCTAGCACACCTCTACGTAGTACGGCACTAATAACCGGCTACATGCTAGTGGGCTGCTGAGCTGCTAGCAAGTGATAAAACATTATGCGTCTCATATTAACTTTTTGCCGATATCTGATTAGCGATATTGTCCAAACATTTCCGATTCTGATACCGATATATGCAGACGCTACGTGAGATTCCAGCAAATTTGGCAAAACCCAAGCGGATTTTCATTATCGGAGGAAAACCCGATAACGATCTTACCGATATTACATAACCATGCTAATATCGGGCCGATAATATCTGCTGACCAATACGTTCGGAAATGACTTAGATGCCTTTGATGATGTCCATTCTAATGTACAGTGGCCTATGGGTAATCAAACTGACAAACACAAATACCTTTATAAATAAAAAAAAAATATTAGAAATGATTTGAATAACAGAGGCAATCAACAGAGTAGAGGAATATAAATACGCAAATTATTTGTTGCGATTAATGAATCCATTTTTTAGTTTTCTCCACAAATTGTCATGAATGGGAGCAATGTTAATGTTATTTCTCAACCTTTGAGAACCTTAATGATTATTGATCATTTAGTGAATCCTGGTATTTGCTACTCTTTCCATGTCCCAGGGTCATATGGATTACAACATTCCCGAGATTCCAAATTTTGGCTCCGTAGAGTCAGTCAGCTTTGGGGAGACTCACAGCGACAGTGCAGAAGCTCGGGCTTTGCTCAGAGGTTTGGAGAAGAGCAATGAGCAGCTACTGTGGAAACGCTGGTCTGGTGTAACCTCCGCTGCCCCTCATGACCCCTCACGTCACACGAAGGACGCTGCTGCACCTGAACTCTGCAGCAATCGGGACGTCTTTTCATCTCCTCGAGGCCAAAGGGTCGCTGAACCATCTGTGTACAAAAAGAGAGGAGAATTCAGAAGTTCTTTCAAGCCGCCGAGTCCACTGGACGCAAGGATAGTCAGTCCAGAGATCAGGTCGTGGATGGAGAAGGGTTTGGATCAGCTTAACGGGAAGGCAGGAGCGAGTGAGAGTCACATTTCCTTGAGCTCTGAAGAAGGCAGCTACAGCCTGCCGGTCCTGGACTCAGATGAGGAGGATGCTTACAGCTACATCCTGGACCTGAACAAAGAAGTCTTCCAACCATATCAGCAGCTGAGCAGAGTAGTAGTCGAAGAGGAGACGGTGAAGGATGTGGATGAAGAACATCAGGAAATGTGTGAAACT